ATCTCACAGGTCACAGTGGTGCACACCATCAGGAGCCCGCAGAGCCCCAGGCGGCCACTCCTGGGCATCTAGGCTGAAGGAAGCCTGGGCTGGGACGAACCCGCCCTCTCCATCACCCCCCACTGGGAGGCCTGGGACAGGGTGGGACAGCCACACTTCATTGGGTGGCCCTGGAGGCCACTGGGACCCTCCACCTTGCACAGAGCCCTCCCCCGGCCGTGGAGGGATGGGTACTCTTCCCTTTACAGCCCTGGGCCCACCCTCTCAGCGGGGTCCTTCTGGCCCTGCAGGCTGGGATGTGGGACGCAGGGGACTGAGCCAGTGCCCATCCCTGAGCTGCAGGAAGAAGGTCGGCAGGGGCAGGATCAGAGAGAAGCAGCCCCTCCCACCCCTGTCCCCTGTCCCCAGAGCTTCTTTTTAGGGTGGGGCTTCCTCAGCCAGACATCATAGGCCAGACTGGGAGGGGCTGTGGGGTCCGGGCTCCGCCTGGGGGCTCCAGCCCAGGGTGGACTGACCAGGGCAGCCAGGCGCAGACTCGTGGCCCAAGAGCACCTCAGCCAAGGCACAGGGATCAGCTCAGGGGAAGCCACCACTCTGCCTCCCTCTGGGACCCTGCAGTCCCCAAGTGCTGGCCTCTGAATGCCTGGCCCAGGACAGGCCAGGACTGCCTGGAGAAGAGGACAAGTCAACAGAGATGGACTTCTAGGCAGAACGGACACCCACTCAAAGGTCTGTGACCAGGGCAGCCTCAGAGACTCCACTTGTACTTATCAGGACTACAGGGACCCTCACCAAGGGTACTGTCCCCTGCTCCAGGCGGGGAAGGCCTGCTGCCCCCAGGCTGCGCTGAGGTCAGTTAGGAAGAGTGAGGTACAAGGATCGCCAGGGACCTGCCAGTGTCCCCTGAGGCTCCTGAGGCCATCCGTCAGGAGGACCCAACCTTCCTCCCACCAGGCTCTCAGCTGCTGTCCCTCCTCGCGGTTCCTGCTCAGGCCCCTCCCTGACTTCACACCAGCAGGCCCTGCCAGGGGCCCAGGGCGGGGGTCTGGGTCCTAAGGGGGGGCACCACTTTTGCCATCAATCCTCATCTCCCGCCACCACTGCTCCCTCCCAGTCTCCCCAAGGCCCCATCGACCACCCCTCCAGCCAGATGGGGCCTCTGGGGACACAGAGCCTGTCCTCAAGTTGGGCTCCCCACTCCCACCTGCACCTGGGCCCATTGATCAGGAATGGCTGGAGGCTCTTGGCTGGGGGAGGGAGGGAGCCGGGGAGGAGGACTGGGAGGGAGGGGGCTTCGTGACGTCAGAGCCTTCCCACTGCCCCCTCCTGCACGCACCCGCCCCTGGAGCTGGACCAGCCCCGCCAGTGGCCCAGCCTCAGACACTGCAGTCGGAGGGTGGCCTGGAGAGGGACCCTGCAGACCCCTGAGCCAGGGTCTCACCTGCAGCAAGGGAGAACCTCACCAGGGGACGAGGACAGACTGCACCGAGGACCGTGGGTGCCCAGGCTGAGCTGCGGTGCTGGGCGGACAAGCAGACCTGGGGCAGCGGGCGACCCGCCCGGCAGGCAGGGCCCCCTGGGTGGCAGCTACAGCCCAGCCCCAGCTGAGGTTTCTTCAGGAAGTGGACATCTGGGCCATCCCCATGGCAGGTATGGCGTGGGCCACCGGCTGGCCGATGGGCGGACAAGCAGACCTGGGGCAGCGGGCGACCCGCCCGGCAGGCAGGGCCCCTTGGGTGGCAGCTACAGCCCAGCCCCAGCTGAGGTTTCTTCAGGAAGTGGACATCTGGGCCATCCCCATGGCAGGTATGGCGTGGTGGCCGATGGGTGGGTCAGGCTCCAGGGTGAGTGGGGCTGATGGCTGGAGCCT